ATGACCAGAGCTGAAGGCAGATGCTTAACTGACTGACCCACCCAGCCGCCCCTGACTTCTGGGCATTTATCCAAAGAATACAAAAATGCTGATTTGCACCCCTATGTTCATGCAGTATTATTTACAATAATCAAGAAATGGAAACACCCTGGGCGCCTGGGTGGCTCAGTTGGTTAAGCGACTGCCTTTGGCTCAGGTCATGATCCCGGAGTCCTCGGATCGAGTCCCGCATCGGGCTACCGGCTCGGCGGGGAGCCTGCTTCTCCCTCTGACCCTATTCCCTCTCATGCTGTTTCTCTCTCTCTCCCTCTCAAATAAATAAATAAATAAAATCTTAAAAAAAAAAGAAAGAAATGGAAACACCCTAAATGTCCATCGTTGGATGGACGGTTAAAGAAGTTGTGGTATATATATATACAATGACTACTACTCAGCCATAAGAAAGAATGAAATCTTGCCATTTACAACAACAAATGGACCTTAAAGGTATTATGCTAAGTGAAATAAGTCAGATGGCGGAAGACAAATATCAAATGATTTTACTTACATGTGGAATCTAAAAAAAAGCAAACGAATTAACAAAATAATACAAATATAAGCTCACAGATACAGAGAACAGATTGGTGGTTACCAGAGAGGAAGTGAGGTGGGGGTGGGCAAAATGAGTGAATGGAGTGAAGTATGATGATGGATGATGGTAACGACTTTTAGTGGTGATCACTTTGTAGTGTATAGATTTCAAATTACAAGGCTGTATACCTGCAACATATAGTTATATACTAATTTTACCTCAAAAAAATGCTACAAACTGTACCCCCACACACTAGTATTAAAGAGTGTGACCAGCTGAATTTCAACTTCAGAAGTCTATTCTTCGATGGACTCTGAGAAACAAACAGGGTTCTAGAGGGGAGGGGGGTGGGGGGATGGGTTAGCCTGGTGATGAGTATTAAAGAGGCATGTTCTGCATGGAGCACTGGGTGTTATGCACAAACAATGAATCATGGAACACTACATCAAAAACTAATGATGTAATGTATGGTGATTAACATAACAATAAAAAATTTTAAAAAAAGAAGTCTATTCTTTACTGCAAAGTTTAAAATACAGACTGCTCAGTTTGAGAAAACAGTATAATTCAAAAGAATAACTACACTGTGTTTGTTAAATATGTCCTTGTTGAAAATACAATGGTATACAAGCAACTAGAGGATTATAAATAAATTGTGATCCAAAATCCTGGTAAATCCAATTGTTTAGAACTTGCTACATATTCCCTCATTAAATCATTCATAAATCACAACTAAATTTATTGGACTTTTACTGCTTGTCCAGAGCTGTGCATAAATGCTTATATCATTCTCTTGAGAAGGGTGAACTTTTCTATTTACTATTTTACTGATGAGTAAAATTTATGCACAGAGCAATTAAATAATTAGTCCACGTTCATACTGCTGGAAAGTGGCAGGGCAGAATCTGAATAAGCAGACCATTTCTAAAGTCTGCCTTAGCCGGTGCCTTAACCATCATGAATTTCATCTCTTGCTGGGCAGGTCCAGAGGCTACTCTATATATCCTAGGATAGTTAAAGTAGTAATTACTATGTAATAATGGTAACTATAGTTCTGGGACATAAAAGCATACAAAGAAAAAAAAAACAGGATTAAGGGAGAAACTATATATATATTTTTTCCTGGTAAGAAAATTAGGCATTGATTAAAAGAATTTACCTGTTCTATAGTTCTGAATACAAAACTAGAACAGATTAATCTTAAAGATTTCCATTTTGTTTCCCCTTAAACTCTTTAGAGTATGATGATGACAAAGGTACTCTTTCACATGTCTTTATTTCATTGGCATTGGAAACTAATTTTTACAAGCTAAACAGGAATAACTCTTGGTTATTTAAGCACTACTGTTATTTTCAAAAACATGGGACTTTTAAAAATAACTAAATAATAATTTAGTAGCAAACAAACTTTATTTGGTAATTATCAGGCCTTTTCTTCAGTTTCATAGACTTTCTAAAATTCAATGATAGTCATTTTTCTAGGAAAATAGCCAGGTTTTCTTCTTCCTCATCATGTAAACTGTTTTAATTTAAAATTATGTCTCTTAGCTTCCAAATTTTTATACACACAAGTGAATCAAACAATATTGTATTTGTGATCAGTCTTTATTTTTATATTAACTTTAGTTTTGCTCTTTGCCCAGTGCAGACAGATCTAGACTATTTCCTCTAACAGTTGCATGAGTCTGTCTTATCACCTAAGGCTAATTTAAAAAGAGTGTATGTTTATACTTTAAAGGAAAAACAGAACAATGTTTACTGAAAGTTCTTGGCTAAAATTCTAAATAAAAGTATACTCTAGGGACGCCTGGGTGGCTCAGTCGTTAAGTGTCTGCCTTCGGCTCGGGTCATGATCAGGGTCCTGGGATCGAGTCCCACATCGCGCTCCTTGCTCGGTGAGGAGCCTGCTTCTCCCTCTCCCTCTGCTGCTCCCCCTGCTTGTGCTCTCTCTCTCTCTGACAAATAAATAAAAAAAAAAAAATCTTGAAAAAAAAAAAAAGTATACTCTTCCCTCAGATGGCACATTTTCTTCTCATTCATCATCTCAGACTTTTCTCCCAAAGTGAGGCTCCTTAGTTTTCTGTAAACATGATTCCAAAATGCCAGAATTCCTCTTCAACAAGGCAGTTGACTTCACTTATCGTATCTAGCTAAATGCTGAAACTGGTTTTCTAGTAGTAGTGGTGATAGGTTATAGTGAGTCACCCCCACTCCAACCCTTGTGACCGATGGCATGTACTTATGAGGTAATGGATCAGAATTCAGGCTCCAAGCTGTGGTTGAGGAGCAGCTTTTCTGTAAGACAATGTTAACTGTTACTGGAATTCTACCCCAAAACTTGGCACCACCTTGCAACTGAATGTTTCTCAACATTTACAGACAATGACAGGCTCTCAAACTTGCTAAATGAGATACATCAGGGAAGTATTGGGGGTGCTGGGGGTTCTCCCCTTGGTAGTCATCCATGGACTTCCTCCCATGGTGATACCCAAATGGAGTCTTGATGAATATGAAATTAGTCAGGCCAATAATAGGGGGAATGGGAGTTCCAAGGAGAGAAAAAAATTCAAAGACACCAAAAGGGAATAGGAGAATGATACATTCAGAGAAATGCAAGTAGTCTGCTACAGCTGCAGGAGACAGGAATGTATGGAAGTGTGCAAGAAATGAAGAAGAGAGTCTGGGTCTTGATGATAAAAACATCTATATGCAATTCTAAGATGTTAGAATATGTGTCGAAGGCAGTAGAGAGTCACAGAAAGTTTTGAAACAAGAATGAAGTATGAACAGATCCACTAAGGCTTTAGTGACAGACTGAAAGAGAATAATGAAACCAATTGGGAGCTATTATAATAATTCAGTTTAGAAATGATGAGGGCTTGAACTAAACAGCAATGGGCATGGAGTCCTGTGGTCAGCTGTGAGAAATATTAAAAATGAAAAAATCATAGACTGACAGGGACAGGGAAGAAGACAGAATCAAGGATGACTTTCAAGTTTCTGGTGTGGGTAGCTGATTGAGGTAGAAGATTATGAAGTAGGTTTAGGCTGGGCAGAGGATGAAATGAAGCCAGTAGGGGGTAAAGAGATTGGATATCCAACATATGCTGATGCTTACTGGACTGTTAGTTTTCCATTACATTTTCTCTAGAGGGAAAAATCATAATTTTAAAGGTCATTTTAGCCCTCTGTTATTATAGAAGGTCTCCTGTGTATTTCCAGAAGCAAAAAAGAGGTCATGGTCAATGTTAAATATATTTATAACATATATTCCAATGAATACCAAAATGGATTGGACCCATATGTTCAATTCACATTAAAATATATGTCACAATGCATCTGCTTTTAAAGTGTGTGTCAGAAACAATTTCCAGAACAAATGCCAAATATCCTGGAGATGCTTGAGTTCAAATTACCAATATATGCCATTGTACTTAAACTGTTTGCTACTTGGATATATACTAAATGTAGATACATGTTTGAAATCTATTCTTACAGACTTTTAAAAAATTCTTAAATACTGTTTTTAAAAGATAAAATATGAGAAAAAGACTGTTTTATGGTGTTTCACCTTCAAAATGCACACATTTTCTTGAAAGGCTGAGAGCCAAGAAAAATTTCAAAGTATATTGCTAGTATAGTACGAATGTCTGGATAACATAACTAAATACATTAAGGTGAACTAAAACCCCAAACTGGACTCTTTATAAGTACCTAGATACTTGAAAAACAGACTAGCTCTGAATAATCCATTAAGATATATTTTATCCAGAATGAGCTATGTAGCCTGGTTTGCTTGGATGGAATAAATTATTGTCAAATTTCTGAGCCATGATTTGTCAGCATTTCTCAATGTTTTTTTAATAAAATTCACACAAACAGATATCTAGTTTCATAATAATTATTAATGTGGACCTAGAATGGCTTTACCCTATTTATTTCTCAAGCTGGTTCAACTTAGATCATGGTAGAGTAAATTTCCTATATACTAAGGTCTTAAAAATTGAAAGATAGGAAGGAAGGAAGGAAGGAAGGAAGAAAGAAAGAAAGAAAGAAAAAAGAAAGAAAGAAAGGGAGGGAAGAAAAGAATAGAATAAAAAAGAAAAGAAAAAGATGGCATGAAAGAAAAAAAAACTTCTTGTGACACTACTGCTGTGCAGCAAAACTGTCATCAAATTCCATCTCTTCTGGATGTATAGATTCATCAATGATCTATTCAAACTGCTTCTACACTGTGCAGTGTCTGGTTTTTAGTAGCGTAGGATAGATATTTCATTTTTGTAACATTAGCCGAGACACTATTTATGAAGGTGGTTTCCTCAACCATCAAACACTGTATAGTGGAAAAAAAAATAGAGCTTAGAATATTTTTATTATAACTGATAAATTTAACATCTTGGCATAATATTATATTAGAAGAATTACTTACTCAAGAAGATCTGGGTCTAGTCCTTCTGATATCATTTTGTTTCTTATTGCCATCACTGGAACACCCTAAGCAAAGGACATAACATAATCAATTATTAAAAATGCCTCCTTCATAAAAACAGATAAATAGAACAATGAAGGAGAACTGAGAGCTGAGATATAAACCCAAATATAGATGGCCAACTAATATTTGACAAGGGAGCCAAGAATGCAGAAAAGAAAGTCTCTTCAATTAATGGTGCTGGGAAATTGGATAGTCACATGTAAAAGAATGAAACCTGATCCCTATCTTACACCACTTACAAAAATTAACTCAAAATGGATTAAAGACTTTAATGTAAAATCTGAAACCATGAAACTCCTAGAAGAAAACATAGGAAAAAAGCTCCTTGATATGGGAGTTGATAATGATTTTATGGAAGTCACACCTAAAGCATGAGTAACAAAATACAAAATAAGTGAGATTATATCAAACTAAAAAGCTTCTGTACAGCAAAAGAAACCATCAACAAAGTGAAAATAATATAGAATGGGAAAAATATTTACAAACCATATATCTGGTAAGAGGTTAGTATCCAAAATATATAAAGAACTCATACAACTCAATAGCAAAAAACTTAAATAATGCAATTTAAAAATGGGCAAAGGACCTGAATAGGCATTTTTCCAAAGATATATGAATGACCAACACATACACAAAAAGATGCTCAACATCCCTAGTTAATAGAGAAATGCAAATTACAAACAATAAGATATCATCTCATGCCCGTTAGAATGGCCATCACTAAAAAGATAAGAGGTAACAGATGCTGGCATGGAGGTGAGCAAGGGAACCCTTGTGCACTGTTGGTGGGACTGTAAACTGGTAAAGCCACTATGGAAAACAGTATGAAGATTCCTCAAAAAATTAAAATAGAACTCCCATATGACCTAGCAATTCCAGTGCTGGGAATATATCCAAAGGAAATGAATATACTAACTCAAAAAGGTATCTGCAGGTCCATTTTTGTAGCAGCATTGTTTATGATAGTCAAAACATGGAAACAACCTAAGTGTCCATCAATGGATGAATGGAAAAAGAAGTTGTGGTATATATACACACAATGGAATATTATTCAGCCATAAAACTGAGAAAATCCTACCATTTATGACAACATAGACAGACCTTGAAGGCATTATGCTAAACACATAAAGACAAATATATTATGATCTCATTCTATGTGGAATCTAAAAACAAAACAAAACTACCAAACTTACAGAAAAAAGAGACCAGATTTGTGGTTACCAGAGGCAGGGGTGGGGGGTTGGGAGGAAGGAGGGGGAACTGGAGGAAGGTGGTCAAAAGGAGAAACTTCCAGTTATAAAGAAGTAGTAGGGATATAATGTACAACATAATGACTACAGCTAACACTGCTGTGTGATATATAGGAAACTTGTTCAGAGAGTAAATCCTAAGAATTCTCATCACGAGGAGAAAATTTTTTCTTTTCTTCTCACTGTACCTATGTGAGATGATGGATGTTAACTAAACCTATTGTGGTAATCATTTCACAATATATGTAAATCAAACCATCATGCTGTATGCCTTAAACTTATACAGTGATGTATTTCAATTATTTCTCAATAAAATAAAAAAAAATTAAATGAATAGAAGCTAAAATAAAAAGCCTCCTTTATAGGTCTCATACCCCCTAAAACAAGACCTTTTATTTTATTTTTTTTATTTTTTTAAAGATTTTATTTATTTATTTGAGAGAGAGAGAATGAGAGACAGAGAGCATGAGAGGGAGGAGGGTCAGAGGGAGAAGCAGACTCCCTGCCGAGCAGGGAGCGCGATGCGGGGCTCAATCCCAGGACTCCAGGATCATGACCTGAGCCGAAGGCAGTCGCTTAACCAACTGAGCCACCCAGGCGCCCCTAAAACAAGACCTTTTAGATGGCTTATATTTAAAATAGCTTATTTTGCTTTTATATTAGTATGTATGTAGCACTTGAATAATCTAATAAGGTACACATTTTAACTGACTTAGTGGAATCAGTGCTATCCAATATCACATATGCCCAAATTAAATCATTTGAGCTTATCCATTACTAATTCTGCTGTAAACAAGTCAGATATCACATTCTCACTTCTTATACCTCCAAAAAAAAAAAAAGTTGATGACTCAAACGATTAAAACCTTCGCTGGGATGTACAATAAATACTTAAGAAGATGAGTAAATGTCTTTTCAAATAAAGATTTCAGAGCTTTCTGAAGTATAGCTATGTTAATGTTCTTTTCATAAGCAAATGGTCCAATTCCATTTGGACACAAAGATCAAATAAAATTCAAGAATTCTCCTGGGACTGTATTATACATCTTGTATAATAAGAAAAGGGTATGTCAGAAATACATATTTACTTGAAAAGGCGACTGATTTACTGAAAGCTCATTTATAAAGCTCTAAGGGAAGAAGATGCAATCCAGTCTGCCAATTCCTACTCTTCACATCATTCCAAAAGATGAGGAAACACAAATATGTGTTCAATTTGAGGACCTTCATTATATCACTTTCAAAAGTGGAATCACTGTGCTTTAAAAGGCTGTACACACAGTTGGGACCCTCTCTGTCATATCTCTTCATCCCATGTGGCAGAAGGGGTAAGCCGAGCCAGAGCCCACGGGAAAAAGCTCCATCACTGCTCCACCGGTGCTGCATACTCTTCCCTTCAGGCGTTCCATGTCACTAGCCAGTTGTGTGATATTCAATTTTGAACCCAAGGTATAGAAGAGGCCCCCTAGGAGCACTAATGTTCCAGGTCCAATTTCTCAGAACTCTACCCTGAAATTTCTGGGCACCAGCCCAACTAAGGTTCTCCTGCTTTCTTTTGCAGTTGTCCCATGTGTTTTCTGGTCTCAAGGATCTTAGGAGCAAATTTACTGGGTTATCACAATTGCACACCTTCGATATTTAACATCACCATGGCAGCACAGTGCTTTATGCTGAGAAAAGACATAAACAGCCCCTGCCCTCAGGGAGTAGTCTAATAGATGTGTTAGATAAACATAGTGCAATCAAGCAATTGATAACAGAGGCCTGCATAATGGTAATGTTAGACCCAAGGAAAGGCAGACTGAGTTAAAGATCCGCAAACGACTTGCTGATGTGAGTCTTAAAGATGGGACAGAAGTTTTAGTTAAAAAGAAAAACACAAAGACTTATAAACATACACAAATCTTTAAATAATCTATTTTACACAAGTTGTCTCAAACATATTTTTAAGAACAAAGAGATACTTGTCTAGATAATCTCCTTCATCAAAATGTTTATTTTATTTTATATTTCACCCAATAAAATCATTTAAATCTCAGCAAGCATACATAAAAACGTGAGAATCAAATAAATTCAATATGAAGAATCTTCAAAGTTAATGACCATATATCTCTCACAAAAATGTTACAGATCTTGCCAAGTTAAATTCAGATCATTATTAACCAGGATCTTCATTTTTAAAATCAGAAAATGTATTAAAATTTAATTCTTACTTTTTAAAAAAAATGTCCAGAAAAGACAGTTACCAAAGGAGTCATAAGATGCCTTCTATAACCATAATCTCTTATTTTGGTTTCGGAGGAGAAAAGTCCAAGTTCTCTACAGCTTGCTAGGTTAAAGGAGGTTGGGAAAACAAGGCTGTCTTTCAAATTTATAGTTTACCAGGAAGACTCTCTCCTGGGAGGCAGCAAAGGCAAGACTGTCATTTACAGGCCCTTTTATACATTCATCTTCATAACTGTTATGTCATAAATTTATAAAATGCAATCTATTAAGACTCAGAAAGTGGGGTCCGTGGGTGGCTCACTCAATTAAGTGCACCTGACTCTTGATTTCGGCTCAGGTCATGATCTCAGGGTTGTGAGATCAAGCCCCACGTTAGGCTCTGCGCTGGGCGTGCAGCCCACTTAAGATTCTCTCTCTCCTCCCTCTGCTCCCCCCTTCCCCCACCATGGGGTCTCTCTCTCTCTCTCTCAAAAAAAAAAAAAAAAAGACTCAGAAAGTTATGGACACTTAAATGCATCCTAAATGTTAGATGAAAATAAATAATACCATTGTATAATTCTCTTCAAAGCCATACTCCTGAAAGTAATAGTTTCATGGTGCAAACTTCAAGAAATTCTAAAAAGTGAAACATGGTAGGTTTGGAAGACAAAAAAGGTGGAAGATAAAATCTTTTGTTAGCTTATGAAGTTTAAGGATAAATGAAAGGAAAAAAAAAAAGGCTGTTACTTGCTTAGGGGCATCCAATATGAACAGACACTTATATTTGGAACCAAAAAGCATGAATTTAAAACTGTACCACTTTTAAAATATATTTTCTGGAACTAAGACTTGAGAGAAAGATTTTTCTCTTAAGTACAAAATGCACTTAATGATTACTTCATAATAAAATGCATTTAATTTTAATGGTGGAAGAGAAAGTTGATACTTGAAAGATAAGGTTGGGAATTTTACTTGATAATTAAAACTTAACTATTACTTAACTATTTAGTATAACAAGCAAAGTTAGGACTGTAAAAGAGATGTGAAAAAGAGCAGAGTTTTATGTTTTTTTTCTTTAAAAAGGCCTCTCAGTTTCTATTAACTATGGTTTGATGGTATAAGGTCTTTCTACAAACTCAACTATGTGATTTATTTATTATACTTTAGCATAATCCACAGGATATCATTGGAAAGGTTATACAAATAAGTTACAAAGCCGAGAAAACAGAAGGGAGAAATGAAGTTGAAAAAAACATTTCCTAAAATATAGCAAAGAAAGTGTGTATGAGGTGGTAGTGAGGGGAGGTAGTGGGTAGGGAGTAATGGGGAAAAGGGAAGTTGGTAGAATTAGATAAGCTCCCTATTTTAACAGGAGTTTCATGGCCTTGGTTACAGTATAATACTCGAAACCTAAATACGTAAGCTCCGTATTTTACCCTTAGTTTCTTGAAGCTGTTTACAGCACAAGAATACAGATATTACCAAAATTTGGTGACTAGTCATTTCTGTATATGGATATAGACAAAAGAAAATACAAATAACTTATC